CTGCGGCTTGGGGGGCTCCGTGGGGTTTAGGGAATTAAGGGGGGCTTCAGGGCCCTTTGCGGCTGGCTCTGTGGGGCTTGCAGGCTCCGTGGGGTTTAGAGGCTTTTCTCGGCTGGTCCTGTAGGGTTTGGGGAGTGCTTTAGGCGCCCCTTGCAGCTGGCCCTGTGGGGTTTAGAGAGCCCTGACAGGTTTAGGGGCCCACTGCAGCTGGCCCTGTGGGGTTTAGAGAGCCCTGTCAGGTTTAGGGGCCCATTGCAGCTGACCTGTGGGGTTTAGGGAGCCTTGCAGGGTTTGGGGTCCCCTTGCAGCTGACCCTGTGGGATTTAGAGAGCACTGTGAGGCTTAGGGGCCCATTGCAGCTGGCCCTGTGGGGTTTAGGGAGCCTTGTGGGGTTTAGGGGCCCTTGCAGCTGGCCCTGTGGGGTTTGGGGAGCCCTGTGGGGTTTAGGGGCCCTTGCAGCTGGCCCTGTGGGATTTAGGGGCCTTGTTTTTGCTGACCTTGTGGGGTTTAGGGACCCCTGTCAGGTTTAGGGGCCCATTGCAGCTGACCCTGTGGCATTTAGGGAGCCTTGCAGGGTTTGGAGTCCCCTGGCAGCTGACCCTGTGGGATTTAGAGAGCCCTATCAGGTTTAGGGGCCCATTGCAGCTGACCCTGTGGGGTTTAGGGAGCCCTGTGGGGCTTAGAGTCCCTTGCAGCTGGCTCTGTGGGGTCTAGGGGCACTGTGGGGTTTAGGGGTCCCATATGGCTCTCCCTGTGGGGTTTCTGGGCCCTGTACGGTTTGGTTCAGCTGGCCCTATGGGGTTTGGGACCTCTTGCACCTGGTGGTATGGATTTTGGGATCTTGTGAGGATGGGCACCATGTGGTCAGCCCTGCGGGGCTGGTTGCCCCATGGATGTGGCGCCCAGCTGGTGCAGGAGGTGGCAGAGGGTCAGTCCAAGGAACATGTATTGAGTCCTGCTCCCCTCCAGTAGCAGTAGTTCCTCACCCAGGATGGGGCCAGGCCTGGACAAGTGAGAGGGGTTTTCCCTTGTCTCCTACCGAGCCACTGTGTCTCACCGGTGCCAGCTAAGCCATGTCTTCCTTGTGCCTGGAGGGTAGGTCCTTGCAACTCATAGCCTCGAGCAGCATAGCTTGTCCTCATGCTTTGCATCCCAAATGCTACGTAGCTGTGATGCCCTGGTGACGAGTCTCCTTGCAGTCCTCCTGTGGTGGTATGCCCCTGTGCAGCCAGCCATGTACAATGTACCTTTGGCTATGGGGTAGCGCTTGTTGGGCTAAGTTGTCCTTGTGTGCTGTATTTCTGAATCTAGGCCTTGCTGCCTTTCTGCCTGATGTAACACTGTGCCCAGCTCCCTTGTTCCTGACTATGTAGGCCTGAGATGGGTTGTGACATCCCTGCTTGGGTCTGGTTCACTGAAGTGCACGGCTGGCATAGCTTTGGGGTTCCCCAGCACTTCTAGCTCTGCAGGCTTGCCTGTTCATCTCTTGGAAAAGTGCAAATAAATGTGGCTGAGCTTGGAGCTCTTGGTGGCTTGTAGAGATCTAAGTGCAGTGTCACTGCCCCTTGTAGGAGCTGAATTCATCTGGGTGGGTTTAGGGGAAACAGCTGCTCTAAGAATTTACCTTTTGGTGGTGATTGAGAACATGCATGGGAATGCTGCTGCATTCATCCTTGGGACAACTGTATTCCATAAGGGATTCTGGTTTTTTTTTGTCCGTGTGTCCATTCTTTATTACAATCTGTAAAATCAGAGCTCAATGAAAAGAAAAAAAATATATTGCAGGAGATGGTGAGAAATGAGCAGAAAAGAGGGAATCCCAATTATGTTCACTTTCAGTTCCTTTTCTACTCAGCTGTTCCTTGTTTAGTGAATTTCAATCATGTCAACATTGCCTTGCATTCAAGGCAGGGAGATGGACTGTGCAGCTTTAGTATTCAGAGAGGCAGCTTTAGCATCAGCAAAAATAACATGGGGTCTTCTGCTTACGGCCAAATTCACAGCCCCATGTTATGGTCTTCCCTTCCATCTGCAGGTCAAAGCAATATTTGCTGCTCTCCTTCCCTCAGGCACAGTTCAGTATTAACTTCCAGCATCAAGCACGCTATTTCAGCTTCAGAGACTTTCTTTTGTCTTTGATTCCTCTCATATTCTTTTTTTGGTTTGGTTTTGTTTTTTTTTTTTCCAGATCACTTCAAGGCAAAGATGCTTCTCCCAAATTATCCTGCCTGTTCTCACCCACCCTGCAAAGGAGTTATGTTTCAGTATGTTATTTTCTAAATGGTCATGGTCACTTAGGCTTCAATGGACCTGTTGCTGCCCAGGATAAATCCGGAGTATCTCACTGTGGCTGTCACCCAGAGCCCAGGTAAGTGACTGATGATTTGTCCTTAGTAACTTGCCTGTGCAGAATAGGGAATGAAAGAAGGAAATGAGGCTGAGAGGGAAGCTGCCCTCATGTTCTTATTGTGATCCCAACCAACCCTGAGGTCTTTGGGGTGAGGGGCTTTTTTGTTTGCTTTGTCTGAAAAGGGTCATGCTGGATTCACTGGAAAAAAGCAACGGAAGCAAATCTGTGCAGAACACATCTAGAGACTAATTTTGTGTGGAAGCAGCTGTCACAGTAGATAGAGAAAATGGTGAGAAGACAGGCTCCAGTAGCCTTACTGGCAGTCCCATCACAAAGTTAGCCCTAGAAAAATCTCAGTTTCTGAAGTGACTCACAATCAGTGGTTGAAAAGACATCTCAAAATCTTTCTACCGATGAGAAAAGAATAGTGTGTAGTATTTTCTGCTCCATAGCATTGTCTAAAAGACAAATCCTTACCAAATTTTGGCAGCGTAAGGATCCTGGCTGTTGGTGGTCCCTGGTAGTATGTCTGTGGGTCCTGTAGTTACATGGATAAAATTGATGTGTCACAGTCCTCCCTGAAGAAAACCTTAGGATGCCTGGGTGTCTGCTCCCTCCTCATTCTAGGGGGGATGTGAATCTCAGATCTCTGCCGGATGTTACAGCTGCCTACAGACTGCTTGGCATACTGCCTGAGGACTTACTGACCTTATAAGAGGACTTCTACCTGAGAGGAGATGCCTCCTCCTGGGGTCACCATCCTTCACTGTCTGTAGGCATCTGTCAATTCTGTAATCTCCCCTACAGCTAATCGCCAGTCAGTAGATACCAAAGTCGGGCAGTGTAGATGTGGACTTGTAAGTGGCCTTTCCAAAATGGTGGTTTGGCACCTACTCCTCTGCATAGCCTCCTCTCAGGGTTGGTTTGACTTCAGACAGTGGCCTCCTTGCTGTGCACCAAATGCGTTTGGCATGGTAATCCCATAATAATAAGGTGAGGTTTCTTGTCCCGCCTTTGTGACTGCGTGCTGTATGTGAGGGAATGCAGTGAGCAAGGATAAGGTGTCCTTCATGACCTCATCATGTAGAAAAGGGGATTTGGGAGGCTCTGTGTGGAAGCAATCCACAAAGCATGGTCATCCTCACTGTGTGGGAATGTCCTGGAAAACTGTACAGACAAAACACTTGGGCAGTGGGAGAGGCTTCACCTGCTGAAAAATCGCCCCGGGGATGTCTTGGTGCGTTCACAGAACTACTGCAATACAAAGTTTTGTGGACAGTTAAGAAATGTAATGCAAGTTGCGGCGTTTATCTCCCCATCTCTGTTTTGTTTCTTTTTTTGTGTTGGCTTCTTTGTGTTCAAGCTTCAGACAGAACAGAGTAAAACTGAGAAACTTCCCAGCTGTATTTATTAGCCTCTCTTACACATTACTTATTCAGCAGCAGCATAGCTAATGATACTACATATTTAGGATTGATGCCCAAAGTGTCAGAAGACATATGAAAGATCAAAGTCAAAGATGTCCTTTTCCTCTTTTAAAATAGCAGTTTTGAATATCGGATGTTGTTTCAGCTGTAATGCTATGTATAAAACGGTGATAATTCTAGAAATTTTGCTATTCTTTAATATTAGAGCCATGGCTCACTGTATTTGATCTCAGTAAAAAACTCAAACATATTAAGAGATTGAAAATCTCAGTACCATTCTGAGGCTAAGCAGATTTGGTTTTGGAAAGTAACACAAGTGTTATATCTTGGCATTATGATGGTAAAATTTTTCATTTTAGAAGGATATCCAGACGGGGGAAAAAGCATGTTATTGGATTCTTTTTTCCAATTCGCAGTAAGCATGATTGCAGATGGCATTGATTGTTTTTCTTTTAGCAGCTTCTATGAAGAGATCAAAGCCTGAGTATTGGTCACAGAAGCTGAGTGAAGCTAGTTGATTATTTTGATAGTATATGTGGGGCACAGCTCCCCTATATCCTGCCTGCGTTTATTGTGGCCAGATGTTAAGCTAAGTATTCAGTACAAGCCAATCCTGACTCTATATACACACACAGTGGTGGGCTCTGAGGTAGCGATTCCCATTTGGATCTCAGATCTCAGAGGTATAGCAGGTGGTTCTCTGAAAACACCAGCTCACTGCTCTCTAGCAGGCAAAAGAGTCAATTGTTACTAGGAAGGGAAAAGAGCACAAAAGAATGCCATTATGTATGTGTGTGGCTCACTTGCATCTCAGATACCGTGTTTAGTTCTGATCTTGTCTCAAACAGAATAGCAGAGCTAGAAGGGATACGAATTATAGAACAATCAGGCCAAAAAAAAGTCATCACCTGTCTGGAATGGTTTATATGCAAGGACTAAGTAGCTAGGCTAGGACTATTCAGGCTGGA